GGGAAATTAACAACGAGGCCAAAGAAACTGGACTTTTCGTCAAATCAATGACCCAAATGACGTGTTGCTATGGAGAGATCATCCTGTCCTGTCTGTCTGCTGCTTAAAAGGTAATATGAGGATAAAGAGAAAGGGTGACAGAGACAGATGTAGCAACAGACACAGAGAGGCAGAGGGAGTCAGTCTTAAAGGAAAAGTGATAAGATAAGGGAACAGAAGAGGAAAAACAAGTCGAGGTTACAGCAAATACTGTATTGTGTGGTGCAATCAAGGAAGAAACGACTGATAGTTAATTATCTGCTTTAGTCTTTATATGAAAAGGCAGTGCTGTTACAGTACACGGGCTGCTGAATGACTGCAGGTAAACCTACCATGCTTCCCTATTAGTTACCAGAGCATGTGTGATTTCACCATCATTAGAACATGAATGAAAAAAAATCAAACACGTTCTTGTTTTGTGAGGTGCTATATACACGACTAAGATCATGGGAATCATGTGGCTAAGCTGTGAATACCCATGGCTAAAGTGATATCACCGCTACACTGACATCTGTTTACTTGATGAGATGAGTGTTTTGTAGGTGGCAATGTGTTACTATCGTCAACACAGCGGCATGTCTCTGCAAGCTGGTTTGAGATTCAATTTTTTGCAGCCTATGCATTGTTTACCTCATTATCTTCTAGATTTTTTTTTTTATACTTGCTCAACACCACATAATTAGCTGCCATGCTGCCGTCAACTGCGTTACAGAGCATGCTTAATTGACCTAGTGCAAAATGTAAATGCAGAGTTTAATTTACATGACTCTAGCTTGACATGGCTTGTTTTTGAATTTTTTGTGAATAAAACAATTAAATAATGCATTAAATAAATATTTTTATCCCAATTTAACATTTGATTGTTGCTCATTTAGTCATTTGTATTTAATGTTATATAGAGAAGACTTATCTATAATACTTGAAACCAGGCTTTAAGGGGCTTTAATGCTATGTCTCTCTGGATATAAAAAGATGCAGTTTGTCTCTGGATTATTGATCCTGCTTGTTAAACCAGCCTACTTAATCTAGAAATTTATCTGACCTCCACCCTGATGCCTACAGACCCATGCTCTGGGTCCTGTGCAAGCGCGCACACACACACACACACACACACAAACGCATAAGCACTCAAATTAATCAAAATAAATGAGCGAGGAGCAAAGCAGCCGCTTGTCCTCAAAATCAATCAGTTCCTCGATCTGCTTATTCCTCAGCCAGGCCCCAGCCTTTGCTGATCTTCCATGAAGAGCCCTGAGCATTAATCAAAAGAGGATAAGCATCCCAAAGTGGAAAAGTCCTTAAAAATACTGTACACATTTAGGTCAAAGTCTTTGTGCATCTTCCCTCCCTTCAGTCCAGCAGGTAAAACACTATGACACGCAGAGACTCACTGTGTATATTCTTCTGATCATGTGGGTTTATTCCTGTGTAGGGAGAATCTCAAGACTCCTCTCCCTTGGGACCCAATTACAGACAGTTCGGGTAGGCTTTCATCACGCACATGTGAACGCAGTCAAACACACACAAGCTTGAACGTCACCCCAGGCTTTAACCACCACCTACTATCTTAACCCTTTACCTCACGATTGACCTTCACAGCTTCTGACACAAACAGCAAACACAAAAACACACACTTAACACTAAAGAGGAGGAGCAGGGTGGCTTTGTCTGGAGGGTGTTTGGTCTGAAAAATAAGTAGAGGGGGTGAGGGGCTTGGGTTAAACCTCATAGGAGAGGGTTGAATGAGTTCCCTGCTTGCAATCTCCGACCCTGACAGGAACCACGCAGTCTGTGTTTGTCTGTCTGTCAGTGTCTTAGTCTGGAAGTAAAAACAAATATATATCAGTATTGGCCTGTAGCCAATATCTCCTCCCTCCACCTCCTCCATCAGAGGAATTACCAAACAGCTGGTTGCCATGGCTTCAGTTTTCTGTGCACCAATCACTAGCCATTTTACTGGGGGTCCAGAGGGGGGTAAGCCTGCACAGTCTGGCAAATAGCAGTGATATGAGCGGAGATTAGCATACATTCAGCCAGGAACAGTAAATCCTTGCTCAAATATCACTGGGTTAGTTTAAATAACAGTGGTCTGTTTTATTTTTGCTTCACGTCTCATTTTGTCTAACTGAAGTGCTCCTTTGTTGAAGTGAAATGTCTGTTATATTTCTATGTGCTCCGTTATTCATTGACATTTTCGGCAAACACCAGATTTTGGGTTTGGTGAATTGATAAATGTATGGTAATGTGACATTCTGGATACATCCCTGTTATTCATGCTTAAATATTCTGGGCATTAAACAATACTTTAAAACATTTTAATAGGTCTGCAATTAGCTGATAGTGGTGATTTAAACATTGTATTGATGTATCAATGAAGCCTAATGAGAAAGGTATTGAACTTGAGCATTGAGTTAATTTTTGATGACTCAAAAATGTTGAATGTAAGCAGAGGGCTCCCTCTGCTGGTCATTTAATAGTAACACATTCAACATGGAGAGTGTGATTTTAGGGTTGCCAGTTTAGCTTTAATTGTATTACTATAAATCACTGTCAAGTGAAAAGCATGTATCTTAAAATTGATGACTTTGAATTGTTCATACAAACTCACAGATTAGCTGGTCCTTTTTGGGTTGAAAAAAAATATCCAACTTGTTGAGCTAGATAATAAAAACCCCAATTTGATTGACAGAAAGATGCATTGTCACAAAGCTGAAAACGGGGCTGTTACTCTGGGAGATACAGCGAGGACTTCACATATACACAGACGTCAGCTGAGCAGATGATATTTACAAACATATCAATAATTCATAATTGTCACGATAAAGCTGTAACAGAGCATATCTTTATCTTTAGTACTGGGACACAAGACAAAGTAATGTGTTGAAACCCCAACATGCCCACGGTCTGCACACAGCTGTTTTCACTTACTGTCTGATTAGACTGTGCTTGACTGACTCCCGGACTCTCACATTCGCATTGTTGCACCTGGTGGGACGGGACTGTTTACACCGTTATTATAGGTCTTTTTCATGGAGGACATTTTGACATTTCACAGTACAAAAGAGAAGAGGTGTAAATAATCAAATTAATGATGTCTGAATTCCATTTATTTCAGGATTCTGGTATTGTGCATGCTGGCCCACCGTCACGGCTTACTCGGACACTTAAATAGAACAGAGCCATCGTTAATGTTATTAGTAACACCTGTGCTTCTCCTGCTATCTGCTGAAAACGCTACAGTGTGGCTGTGTGGGCCTTAAAGTAAACATTTCATTTAAATGTCTGCAATTTTTTTTTTTTTTTAGATAATTCCACTTTTAATTCTTAGTACCTGTTCTGATATCCAGCCTGCTGTGTATTATGAGTCTGCAAAATGTAAATTTTCTTTGCTTACACTGTGTGAGATAATAAGAAAAAGGAGGAGAATATAATGACTGCTGTAGGAAGTATTAATGTGTGGGTTACACTGAAGGTTTCCTATGGTGAACACCAGCTATTATTATCCCCCCTCTTGTAGATGTAAATTGCAGCCATTAAAACATTTGAACTGAAAATTCCTGATTTTACTTTGAGTTTGTGTTAGCCACGATAAATCGATTTCTCCTTATAATATTTTTAATATTCTACTTTCTCCTTTTCGTTGGTGCTATACGTTTGTGTCATATGCAGTGGTGGATTGTAACTAAGTATATTTTCACAAAGTATTGTACTTCCATTTTTAAATATAAGTATTTCCATTGTGTGCTACTTTCTACTCCACTACAATTCAGTGGGAATATTGTACTTCTTACCCAATTACAGTTATTTGATAACTAGTTAGTTTGCAGATCTAGATTATTAATACAACTAGGCCCAATTTATTACTGTAGGATACACAGTAGTATATAAAGTAGTTGATACCAGCCCCCTTTGCAACATTATAGCGATACACATAATGCATCACTATTTATAATCCAACAATATAGGCTACATTATTATAATTGTCTATCCTGCATAGTGAGTACTTTTACATCTTGAATGTAGGACTTGTAACAATGTATTCTACGCTGTGGTATTGATACTTTA